CGAGTCGCCATAAAGAAAATTTTACTGTGCCATTGCCACAAAAAAAAGCCTGGTTACAATATGCCCGACAACACCTTGACACGCCTCACAGCTTCTGACACACTGTAATTTGGAGTGACAAGACAAAAATAAAGCTCTATGGTAACAACCATAGGCGCTATGTTTGGAGAGAGGTCAACAACGCTTATTGTGAAAAGAATACCATCCCCACTGTGGAGCATGGTGGTGGCTCACTGATGTTTGAGGAGTGGAAGGGGTGAGCGTTAAAGGCATGTGGAATCTTGTTAAAATTGATAGCAAGATGAATGCAGCATGTTATCAGAAAATACTTGCAGACAATTTGCATTCTTCTGCACAAAAGCTGCCATGGGACACTCTTGGACTTTCCAGCATGACAATGACCCTAAGCGCAAGGCCAAGTTGACCCTCCAGTTGTTACAGTAGAAAAAGGTGAAGATTCTGTAGTGACCATCACAGTCTCCTGACCTTAATATCATCGAGCCACTCTGGGGAGGTCTCAAACATTCAGTTCATGCAAGTTCATGCAAGACCACCAAAGACTTTGCTTGACCTGGAGGCATTTTGCCAAGACAAATGGGCAGCAATACCACCTGCAAGAATTAGGGACCTCATAGACAACTATTACAAAATACTGCACACTGTCATTGATGCTAAAGGGGGCAATACATAATATTAAGAACTAAGGGTATGCAGACTTTTGAACAGGGGTAATTTCATTTTTTTCTTTGTTGCCATGTTTTGTTTTATGATTGTACCATTCTGTTATATCCTACAGTTAAATATGAATCTCATAAGAAATAAAAGAAATGTATTTTGCCTGCTCACTTATGTTTTATTTAAAAAAGGTATATATATTACCAGTTCTCCAAGGAAATGCAAATTTTTGAGCACAACTGTATATTCTTTAAGGATATCAAACTTTGATTAAAAGCTGTGTTTGGAGACAGCATCCACCCCGGTTTTCCCACAAGAGCTGTTGGCTACCGAGGTAACTCGGGAGATAGTGGGTGCTGGGTCTTAAAATGTACTACATGACTTGGGTTCTAGCTCAGACAGTAGCGCTGCTTTGGGAGGACTGCAAGCCTCAGTGGGCTTAGCGCAAAAATTACATTCTCCACCCTCTCAACATAGAACGATGCTTCTGGCTAACACGATGTTTGAAAACCTCTGGGATAATGACGCTTGCTACAACCAAAGACTCAATACATATATGGTGACAATGGGCAGGAAACAATTGAGCATGCGAGGCACTGTATATAGCTCTACTTCACACCTTCCAGGTATTGCCCCTAGATCTTTCAATCTCCTACTGGATGAAAAATGGGTTGAAAAATGTACAGGACTTGTTGAATTTAGGAGGGATTATACTATTCCTGAATTTTGAAAATCAGTACCATCTACCTCTCAGAGATCTCTTTACATACCTGAAGGTCAAAAATATACTTCTCCATTAGATCCTATGGGTCGACCCCAGGGTGTACAATAGTTTTGAGCAGTTGTTGTTGTCTAGAAAAAATGTATGGCTAAACTGCTGGTAACCTGCTAGAGAAGATTGGTGGAAATAGCTTCCATGGGGAGACTTACATTTATGGTACAATGGGACTTAAATTAAACTTTCACAGTGGAGTAATGGGGGAGGACACTAGAGCATATGAAGCACACCTCACCATGTCTTGGACACTGGGACACAAACAGGAAACTGTTAATGCAATGGTATCTTGTTCCACAGCGTTTGGCGGCTATATATACCTCAGCAGACCCCCTCTGCTGATGGTGTGGACAGTCTATGGGTACATTTGTGCATGTCTTCTGGGCATGCCATCTTCTCACAATTTTGGAGTGACATACAATAAAAATTTTGTGAAACTCAATCCCTTAGAAAACACATTGAAGAGTGTGAATTAAGAGAGGGTAGAAAAGGCAGAAATAGTAACTGAAGCACATCAAGTGACGGTAGACGTACTAAACAGCGCTTTGGAAACCCAATCTGAAAGAATAAAAAATGAATTTAACCTTTCTCAGCAGAGTTTAAAAACGATCTACTCAACATAAATAAAAAAATGAAATGAAAACTCAGAAAAAATCAAAACTATGGAATATGACTCGATACAGTCCCAAAAGGAGATCTTTGGTTCTAAAAACTAAATTTGGGGCGTGCACTTCATATCTGAGAGTCAAATAGAACCGTCAAATACTGCTGTGACATTGCAGTTTGACCAATTCACTTTTTTTGGTGCTAAAAAGTACATTTGTGGCGTGCACTTCATATCTGAGAGTCAAATAGAACCGTCAAATACTGTGGTTCCATCGCACTTTGAAAAATTCAAATTTTTTGGGTGCTAAAAAGTAAATTTGGGGTGTGCACTTCATATCTGAGCAGGGCAGGACTTGCCCACCGGGATATCGGGAAATTTCCCGGTGGGCAGTTGGTACCTGGGGCCGGGCAGACACCTGGGTCTGCTGGTGGCCGCTGGCTGGGGGAGATCTGCTGGCGGCCGCCAGCTGGGGGAGTTCTGCCGGCAGCCGCTGGGGGAGCTGTCTCTGCTCCCCAGCACGCAGCTTAATGAGACCGGGGACGGAATATGATGTCATATTCCAGCACCGGTCTCATTAAGCTGCGTGCGAGGGCGGGGGAGCAGAGACAGAACAGCTCTCCCAGCGGCTGCCAGCAGACCTCCCCCAGCCAGCGGCCGCCAGCAGACCTCCCCCTGCGGCCGCCAGCAGACCTCCCCCTGCGACCACTAGCCCACCCAGCCCGTCACCCAGAGGTAATATGTGTAATTCTGTCAGTGTGAGTGTATGTGTGTGTCTGTCTGTCATGGTGTGTGTGTCTGTGTCATGGTGTGTGTATGTGTCATGGTGTGTGTGTCTGTGTCATGGTGTGTCTGTGTCATGGTGTGTGTGTGTCTGTTTCATGGTGCGTGTGTCTGTGTCATGGTGTGTCTGTGTCTGTGTCGTGGTGTTTCTGTGTCTGTGTCATGGTGTGTGTCTGTGTCATGGTGTATGTGTGTGTCTCTGTGTTTTTAAAAAGTGTTTTTTACTCACCTTTTTTTTTCTCCCCACGCCGTGCTGGTCTCCCCTCGACTGGCCCAAGCTTGATGATCTCAGACAATCCAATGCTCTGCCATAGGATTGGCTGCAAAGGCCCTGAATGCAGGTGCTGCATACTGTACAATCACACTGTGCAGCACTGACACAGGAAGCACCTCTAGTGACTGAGTGACTGTCACTAGAGGTGTCACTAGGAAGTAATGTAAACACTGCATGTGAGTATGATTAATGTATAATTAAATGTTTTACTCTGAAAGGACCAATATTATATATTAGAAAAAGCAATATATATATATATATATAGTTATATATATATATTACCCAACCATCTGGGGATGGCAAGACATTGCCTTACATATTACATACGGCAATATATGGCACAATGACTTATGGGGCTGGCATAGATTTTTTTTCCAGGGCTGCTTTGTATCCCCAGTCCGGCCCTGTATCTGAGAGTCAAATAGAACCGTCAAATACTGTGGTTACATCGCACTTTTAAAAATTCTAATTTTTTTGGTGCTAAAAAGTAAATTTGTGGCATGCACTTCATATCTGAAAGTCAAATAGAACCGTCAAATACTGCTGTGACATTGCAGTTTGACTAATTCACATTTTTTTGGTGCTAAAAAGTACATTTGTGGCGTGCCCTTCATATCTGAGAGTCAAATAGAACTGTCAAATACTGTGGTTACATCGCAGTTTGAAAAATTCAAATTTTTGGGTGCTAAATAGTATATTTGCTGCTTGCAGTGCACTTCATAACCGAGAGTCAAATAGAACCGTCAAATACTGTGGTTACATCGCACTTTGAACAATTTACGTTTTTTTTGGTGCTAAATAGTACATTTGCGGCCAGCGGTGCATTTCTTGCAGTCCAATAAAACCCTTAAATACTACTGTTACATTGTTGGATTAAAAAATCACACTTTTTGTGCTAAATAGAACATTTGTGGCCTGCGATGTATTTCTTGAAGTCCAATAAAAATACAAATAATCACTGGAGAGAAAGAGGAAGTACCCCCTTACCCACCCACGATCCCTGGCCCTGAATGCCAGTATTTCAAAATTCCTGGCCTTTGAAATGCTGTCATTCCGACAGTCTTAAAAACCTGATGGTGGTGGCTGTCCCACAGTACGTGGTTCCCAGCCGCCACTACTTTTCCAGGCGAGCCATCCCTTCCCTGCACAACCAATTGGCGGACAAAATCAGGTGTGCACTGCGCAACGCCATCTGTGGCAAGGTCCACATAACCACTGATACGTGGACCAGTAAGCACGGGCAGGGACGCTATATGTCCCGAACTGCACACTGGGCAAATGTAGTGGTGGCTGGGCCTGAGGCGGATAGCAGTTTGGCGCATGTCCTTCTGCCATCGAGGATTGCAGGGCATTTCTCTTTGCCTCCTGTTGCCTCCTCCTCTTACTCCGCTTCCTCCTCCTCATTCGATCAGCGTAACACCTTCACCACCAACTTCAGCACAGCCAGGAGGAAACAACAGCAGGCTGTTTTAAAACTCATATGTTTGGGGGGAAAAATCCACACCACGCAGGAGCTGTGGACGGGCATGGAACAACAGACCGATGAGTGGTTGTTGCCACTGAGCCTCAAGCCCGGCCTGGTGGTGTGCGATGGGCGAAATCTTGTAGCAGCTCTGGGCCTAGCCAGTTTGGCACACATCCCTTGCCTGGCACATGTGCTGAATTTGGTGGTGCAGAAATGCCTGAAAAACTACCCAGATATATCAAAGCTGCTGCAGAAAGTGAGGGCCGTCTGTGCGCACTTTCGGCGTTCTCACCCTGCTGTTGCTTGCCTGTCTGCACTGCAGCGTAACTTCGGCCTTCCCGCTCACCGCCTCATATGCGATGTGCCCACAAGGTGGAACTCCACCTTTCACATGTTGGAGAGACTGTGAGCAGCAGCAGGCAATAGTGGAGTTTCAGCTGCAGCAGACTTGCCATCCAATAGATCCTTGTTAAAGGATTTAAAGTGTACTCATTCCAATTACAGGGCCTCGAAAGAGTCCGGCATTGTTATTTATCGTCACTACCTCCCAGCGTCGGGAATGGGCAATTTGTGCACCTGCTGCCTTCCTTGAATGCGGTAGCCGTTTCTCAGGCTCCCTCTCCGGAATCAAACCCTGATTCCCCGTTACCCGTGGTCACCATGGTAGGTGCAGAAAGAACAATCAAAAGTTGATAGGACAGACATCCGAATGCATCGTCGCCGTCATGGGGACGTGAGATCGGTCCGAGGTTATCTAGAGTCACCAAAGGGCCTGCGTAATGACTGCCGAGTTGCCCACATTCTAACTTGTGCTTATTACTGGGTGGCCAGCTTTCTTTTCTACTGTTACAGTTAAGATTCATCTGTAGGAAAAGGTTACTGATTGCCCAAGGTTTGAATTCCTGTTGGTAATTATAAGGCATTTGATTTGATTAAGCTAGTTACTTGCTGTTGATTGCTGGTTAATTAGCTATTGTTTGCAAATAAGCAGAGGCCTACCCAGGTGTTAAACATTCCTAGTGGGCGGTGATTTAAGGAGTTATATAAGGCTTGGTTTCATTAGCTTGTCTAATATAGCTTGGTGCTACTTCCAAGTGCAGTTTCTAAGTGTGTAGTTGGAGATATTCTGGAGAGTTTTACAGAAGCTTCAACTGTCTAAGAGTTGTGCTAAGAGCTTTCTTTTCTACTGTTACAGGTAAGATTCATCTGTAGGAAAAGGTTACTGATTGCCCAAGGTTTTAATTCCTGTTGGTAAGATTCATCTGTAGGAAAAGGTTACTGATTGCCCAAGGTTTGAATTCCTGTTGGTAATTATAAGGCATTTGATTTGATTAAGCTAGTTACTTGCTGTTGATTGCTGGTTAATCAGCTATTGTTTGCAAAAGCAGAGGCCTACCCAGGTGTTAAACATTCCTAGTGGGCGGTGATTTAAGGAGTTATATAAGGCTTGGTTTCATTAGCTTGTCTAATATAGCTTGGTGCTACTTCCAAGTGCAGTTTCTAAGTGTGTAGTTGGAGATATTCTGGAGAGTTTTACAGAAGCTTCAACTGTCTAAGAGTTGTGCTAAGAGCTTTCTTTTCTACTGTTAGAGGTAAGATTCATCTGTAGGAAAAGGTTACTGATTGCCCAAGGTTTGAATTCCTGTTGGTAAGATTCATCTGTAGGAAAAGGTTACTGATTGCCCAAGGTTTGAATTCCTGTTGGTAATTATAAGGCATTTGATTTGATTAAGCTAGTTACTTGCTGTTGATTGCTGGCTAATTAGCTATTGTTTGCAAATAAGCAGAGGCCTACCCAGGTGTTAACCCCTTAAAACCGGAGGACGTACAATTACGCCCTCTAATAGGCGGCTCTAAACGCCGCCGGGCGTAATTGTACGCCCTCCGGTTTTTGTTAACTTACCCGGTCGCCGGCGGTCCCACGCCAGCGATCGCGGTGGGGGGGACTCCCAGGGAGCCCCCCGCGGCACATCCGTCCTCGTTGAAGCCCCCCGGCCATGTGAGAGTGGGATCCTAGCGAGGACCCCACAATCACATGGCCGGGGATAGCTGGCTTCTGTATTGCCGGCAGGGGGGCTGCCTGTAATGACAGGTGGTCCCCCTGCTGGCTGAAAATAAAATAAAAATAAGTTAATGGTGTAAAAAAAATAATTATATATACTTAGATCATATGTATATATTATATATATATGATCTAAGTATATATATACACATATACATACACACACATACACCGTCTAGATGTATTTTACTATTAATATATATATAATTATATATATATATTAATATCAAATTACACGTAGACTGATACTGATTAAATATATATATAATTATTGTTATATATATATTTATATATAATATAAAAAAAATAAAAATGTAAATACGTTAAAAAATAAAATTAAAAAAATAATTTAAAATAAATAATTAAAAAATATATAGATGTGTGTTATTTCGTTCTAACTGTTTTGTGAAATTAATATATATATATATATATCAAAATACACGTAGAACGAAATAATATATATATCTATATACATAAATATATACGTATATATCACTATATATATACCTATATATAATAAAAATATTTAAAAAAAATTATATAGATATATACATATATATACACATACGTATATATATACATATATTAATTCTACATATATATTTATGTAATATTTTTACATAATTAGGTATCTTAATTAATTACAATTAGCAGGACCTACCTGACAACCCATGCCGAAAGTAAAGGGAATTTAATTTGCTAGCACTATATTTAACCCTATAACTTTCCGAGACACCATAAAACCTGTACATGGGGGTACTGTTCTACTCAGGAGACTTCGCTGAACACAAATATTAGTGTTTCAAAACAGTAAAATGTATTACAACGATGATATCGCCAGTAAAAGTGAAGTTTTGCATTTTCACGCACAAACAGCATTACGGACGTATTATTGCTGTGATACTTTTACTGTTTGACACAAATATTTGTGTTCAGCATCTCCAATACAACAATTACCCTCATGTACAGGTTTATAATGTTTTCAAAAGCGTCAAATATAAGGCTTTAACGTTTTCGGATTTTCACATTAAAATTAAGCAGATTGGTTCACGTTGCCTTTGAGACCCTATGGTAGCCCAAGAATGAAAATTACCCCTATGATGGCATACCATTTGCAATAGTAGACAACCCAAGGTATTGCAAACAGGGTATGTCCAGTCTTTTTTAGTATACACTTAGTCACAAACACTGGCCAAAATTGGCGTTTTGCATTTTCACACACAAACAAATACTATAGCGTAACTTTGGCCAGTGTTTTGTGACCGTAACTCCTAAAAGACTGGACATACCCCATTTGCAATACCTTGGGTTGTCTACTGTTGCAAATGGTATGCCATTATGGGTGTAAATTTCATTCCCGGGCTACTATACAGTCTCAAAGGCAACGTAACCAATCTGGCGAATTTCAATTTCAAATGTAACGTGCTATATTTGACCCTGTAACTTCCCAAAACGCCATAAAACCTGTACATAGGGGGTACTGTCTTACACGTGAGATTTTACTAAATACAAATATGTGTATTTTATTGCAGTAAAATCAGAGTATTATGACACTGATCTTTAAAATGCAATTTAGAACTAAAAAAATCAAAAAAATCGTATTTTCTCCCATTTTTTTCATATTAAATTATGTTTCATAGCTAAATATTTGATATTAAATGAAAGCCCTGTTTTCCCTGAATAAAATTATATATAATAAGGGTGGGTGCATTTACTATGAAAGAGGTGAATTACGGTTGGACAGACATGTAGCGCAAATGCCAGGTTTTGTTTACATTTTGTTTTGTTCACAATGTGTACATTTGGCTCCGTCCTTAAGGGGTTAAACATTCCTAGTGGGCGGTGATTTAAGGAGTTATATAAGGCTTGGTTTCATTAGCTTGTCTAATATAGCTTGGTGCTACTTCCAAGTGCAGTTTCTAAGTGTGTAGTTGGAGATATTCTGGAGAGTGCAGTTTCTAAGTGTGTAGTTGGAGATATTCTGGAGAGTGCAGTTTCTAAGTGTGTAGTTTGAGATATTCTGGAGATAACCTGGAGGTAATCTGAGGTATTCAAGAGGATAAAGAAAAAAGTTAAGATTTGTTAGATTTAAATTATTCTCATAATTGGAATGGCAGGCTTAGTTCAGTGTAACAATTGCTATGCATTTGTTTCACGTTCCACTTTTTGGAGGTTTGGTTGTTGTCTAATCTGTAGACAGTTCTCTATCTTGCGGCAGGAGATTGTATTTTTTGAAGTCTGAGATTTGTAAATTATCTGGTGAAGAAACTCAGACTGGAACTGCTGCAAAGCCACTGCCGCAGAGACATGCTAGGAAAGGCAGATGGATTACTGTAGGATCTGGTAGACTTAGAGTTGTGGATAAAAGGCATTTTGCACAGTCTGTTGCTCTACATAATTCATTTCTGCACTTTCAGAGTGTAATGGTGTTGTGGAGAGAGGCACTGAGGCTAGTGGTGTTGTGGAGAGAGGCACTGAGGCTAGTGGTGTTGTGGAGAGAGGCACTGAGGCCAGTGGTGTTGTGGAGAGAGGCACTGAGGCTAGTGGTGTTGTGGAGAGAGGCACTGAGGCTAGTGGTGTTGTGGAGAGAGGCACTAAGACTAGTGGTGTTGTGGAGAGAGGCACTAAGGCTAGTGGTGTTGTGAGGGCCTTCAAAGGGCTAGTGGTGTTGTGAGGAGGCACTAGGGCTGAGTGGTGTTGTGGAGAGGCACTGAGGCTAGTGGTGTTTGTGGAGAGAGGCACTGAGGCTAGTGGTGTTGTGGAGAAAGGCACTAAGACTAGTGGTGTTATGGAGAGAGGCACTGAGACTAGTGGTGTTGTGGAGACCGGCTTGGAGACTATGGTGAGGCCTAATAGAAAGCAGTTGTTGTTGTTGGGTGATTCCATTATAAGAGGTGTGGAGATGGACAATGGTGGTCTTGTGAGGTGTCTTCCCAGAGCTACTGCTCACAGAGACAGGAGACGTATCTGTAATATTGTTAAGCAAGCAAAGCAGGAAGAGGAATTGGATGTACTTGTCCATCTAGGGACAAATAACTTGGCACAATGAGGTTTTCAGAGGTTAGGAAGTTTTAGTGTTTTGCCAATGATATACGGCAGGTTGCTCCCACACTGTCATTCTCTGAAGTTCTGCCTGTGCATAACACTCAGAACAACAGGCTGATGCGTATTAGGGACTTTAACTTGTGGCTTGGTGAATGGTGTCGGGAGCAAGGATTTGGCTTTATTTCTCATGGTAGCTCTGTTTGGAATGGAAATAAACTGTACAAAAAAAGATGGTTTGCATCTTTCTCAAAAGGGAACAAATGTTCTCAGTGAGCAGTTCAGAGGTTTTTTGCTAGGATGTATTTAAACTAGGAGGGGGCAAGGGT